CACAGTATATCGCAAGTAGTATACAGTACATCACAGATACATAGTATATCGCATGAAATATACAGTACATCACAGGTACACAGTATATCACATGAAGTATACAGTACATCACCGGTACACAGTATGTCACATGAACTATGCAGTACATCACATGTACACAGTATATCCCATGGAGTATACAGTATATCACAGGTGCACAGTATATCGCAAGTAGTATACAGTACATCACATGTACACAGTATATCCCATGAAGTATACAGTGCATCACAGGAACACAGTATATCCCATGGAGTATACAGTATATCACAGGTGCACAGTATATCGCATGAAGTATACAGTACATCACAGGTACACAGTATGTCGCATGAAGTTTTCAATATATCACAGGTAAACAGTATATCGCATGAAGTATACAGTATATCACAGGTACACAGTATATCGCACGAAGTTTTCAGTATATCAAAGGTAAACAGTATATCGCATGAAGCATACAGTACATCACAGGTACACAGTATATCGCATGAAGTATACACTACATCACAGTTACACAGTATATTGCATGAAGTATACAGTATATCACAGGTACAAAGTATATCGCATGAAATATACAGTATATCACAGGTACACAGTATATCGCATAAAGCATACAGTACATCACATATATAAGTGTAATACATTGTGCATGTGGATAGTGAGAGGCAGTGGCAGGCTATATTTAGACTGGTGATATACTTAGATACTTAGCTCTGGAAGGAACTACAGGGTGTTTTTTCTTGCTTGGCTATCTTCTCACTTTACATCTCAAGAACACCAGTACTTGTGAGGAAATCGTTCTTATCTAAGGTATTCATCCGAGGCCTAGTTTTGGAAATTTGACAGTTGTTTCAGTGAGGTGAATATTACCAACATCATCTTTATTTCAATCATCACAAAATTTGTATTATTCTGCCTTTGAATATATACTCCCACTCTATTTGATACTGCCACTGTTACACCGTGAAAGTAATTTGTAACTTAGTTAATTTTAGAATACAATGGTTAATAATATCTCATCTTATTGTTGATTGTTCGGTTAAACCGGATTCTGTCACAAACCGATTCCGGTAAACTATTGCATTAGTTTCAGTTTGTGAATCAACTCATAAAAAACAACTACAAACCAAATTCGATCCTGTATATTGCTTCTTAGAAAAAGCAGGGTTTATTGGAGACCTGTTCTTAACCTGATCTTGAGGTACAATGGCTATTGTGGAGAATAGAATTCTATTTCATCTTTCAATCTGGAAAATTCCTTTGTGGTACAATTTAGGTCGAACTATATGGATTTAGCATACCGTTATGATAGTGTCCTTCGTGATGGTCATTAGTCCCAAAGCACTGATTCCGATCTGACGTTGAGACAACTTGTTGGCGAACAGTGTGACCTGCAGCTGGGTGTACATAACGTAAGAAAAACATGATAGAGACAAAACACAACGTAAACATAACACGTTAAATGCCCAAATCTTCACTTTATATGTGAATGAATGTCAATTTCAACCACGACAAGAGATTCTAGTTGACCAGAATTACACAGGATGCAAAGTGTGAGTTAATTAGAAATACAACTGACAGTGTGTGTTGCCGAAGCACGTGCATGTATAGGGAAGGTATAGCGAATGTGGAAGCTGGCTTTACTTAGTAGGCATCAGTGACTATAGTAATCGTCCTATTCAGCCAATTGGGGTACATGAATTACAATGAACATACACGAAAAGTTATCATAAGTACGTAATATCCATAACTTATAAATAACATAAATCATGTCTTATATACCAAAATCAATGCTCGTTGCGCAGTTTCTAGCAAAACGGTTCCCACAGTTAAATATAGTTTCTAGATACTGAAGTGTCTCTGAATTTGATATGATGTTTTCTTACCAGTCCAATAACTCTATCAGGCATATCTTTCCCAGTCATGTCCAGGAGAACATTCAGAGGTCGGTGTGCCTGTAAACAAACATTGTAGCAATAAACACCAGTTATATAAAACCGTTGGTTTTCCAAGGTAGCTCATAGGTTGAACGTTCTTCCATTCCAACGTACACCCCCTGCATTGTAACAATTAGAAGGTTGATACAAGTGGAAACACAGCAATATTCAACCCTATTAGTAGCTGCATAAGTCGTATTTGATCCATTCAGCTTTTATTGGGTTCGTCATTTAAATATGAATAGATAATTTAACTATTGAAAAGGGAACATTGTTAACCTGAATTGTACATTAAAGTACAATCATAATCAATCATCCGCATCATTTCTGTAATGTTTGGCAAAAATGAAATTTAACACTTACCGCTTCATGTAGTCTGACTCCAATATAGGTGAGGGCGATGAGATACAAAGTAGAGATATACAGAGTAGCTGCAGCAGTACTGATGTTCGCAATGGATTTCTCGTCGTTGATGCTGCTGTACAGGCCGAAACATACAACGAGGAAGGAGCTGACGTAGCCAGCAGCGACGTGTCTGGACATGAGGGAACACACATGTTCCACCAGGTCTGTTAAGGATGCATGGTACCCTCGAATATCCTCAATCTCCTCTTCTTTGACCGACCCTTCAGAAGCCCTTGTTAGTCTCAGTGTGTAATTATCTAGTCTCAGTGTGTAATTATCATACTCATAAGTAAGAAGGAGGGAGATGGACAAGAACAGAAGCAATAACGAATGGTGCAGCAGACAGGTACAGCCAGCAATTACCGTCGATAATACAAGTGAAGGCCAATACCAGTCACTGGATGCGTCACTCACAAAGCTAGCCATTAAGCCAGAGGCACCACAGTAACATGTCGCGCGGACCAGAAGACATACACAGGCCCTCTTCACTCTCTGTCTCATTTCAGTGGCTGAAGCACATGAACTGTTAAACTTCAACCGTATTTCGCGAAGACGTTCGTGGAATATACGAACCTTGCTGTGGATGTTGGTACTCAGAACCCAGTAGGTTAGACATAACAAAATTCCGATCGTATTTGTTAAGGAAAGACTTTTCTTTGTGAACGATTCAGCTTTTGAAAAGTGTGGTATCCTCTGGATAAAATACAGAATAATGAAAATGAAAACTAAACTTGAATATATTCTTGAAACAACCGCCCAGACGTTGCACCATTTGGCTGACTTCGGCTGCTGATAGTCCCATGATAAGCCGGACAATGCGATCAGTTTCTGGATACTTGTCAGTGTGTCCTGTACATCATCTGTTTCACTGGATGAACCAACGGTATCTGGGGAAACCTTAAACATCTTGCACAGACTGGACACTGGATACAGTTTTCAGTATTTGGAGTAATACTGTCGATACACCACTCAACACTGAATGTACACTTCTTCCACAAACGGTATAAAATGGAAATAGGTGGGACGAGCCAATATGTTATCAACATGACGGAGCACCACACAAAACAAACCCTTTAATGGACATGTGATAAAATGCATGATCTGAAGTGATTAATCAATAAGGCAGAATTCTCGGTAGTTAAGTCATGTCGATTTCTAACATGAAAGTATATATTAAGTGCTGTTTAACCTGACGCTCTGGAACACCAGAGAGAGAGAGAGGGAGGAGAGAGAGAGAGAGAGAGAGAGAGAGAGAGAGAGAGAGAGAGAGAGAGAGAGTGAGAGAGAGAGTGAGAGAGAGAGAGTAATGGCATTAATGGGTACAGCAAAGACTGGTTGGCTCGGTGTAAGTATAATGTGTCTGAGTGGGGTATTCATGCTTTACTGCGGTATGGTATCTCAGTGACTTAGCACTTTAAAACCAGCTTACGTCTGTAAGCACCCATACATACACACTCATGCACATCGTCATATGAGCGAAAAATTCTTAATGGTGACGTTAAACCCCAGTTCACCTCACCTCACATCTTTAATGGTCAACGTTTGGCATACGCTAAGTATCATATGAAACTTGTTTAACAGTCCCAAGAGATGAGTTTCTTGAAATGCCTCTTTATTGCCCTTAACGGTATTGGTAAAACAGCTTTTACTGAGAACTATGATCTTTTAATGGCCAGTTTGGCATTTTCGTTGACATTAGTTTAGTTTAAAAGTCAACATGGAATTTTCTGATAGATAGAGATTGAAACACTGGCTATTTCACGCTCAAGCGGTTTAAGTTAATGAATAAGTTCCTTCTGATAATTGTATAATTCCAAAGTACCTTTATTCGGATATATATAAACGTTCTTGCTTTTCAAATCCCAGCTAAAAACACATCTCTTCCGACTCATTATTATGATCATATATAATGCCTGTTTATTGGTTTTGATATGAGCTGTTCCCATTCCAGTGGCTTCATCTTTCTTCAAAAGATAAACGTGCCATTTAGTTCGTGTGCTTAAAAGTGGGAAGTATGTTTGTCTGTCAGTACAGTAAATCTTCAATCCCTGCATCATCCAAATTATAAACAAAACCCTTTTCATGTGTATAAACATATTTGATACTAGCTGTTGACTGTGAGATTTTGAGCATCTGTTTGTTATTGTCCGTCAAATAGTGATGATACCAGGTGTTCGCGAAGGCGTGATTTAATTTCAGAATCCTACAACTTCTTATGAAATTCCGGGCTTCTTATACTACGGTTAATGAATTCTTTCAGTCCTTTATATAACATGAACCATTCAAATGTACTTCAATAAGTCAGTTACAGAAGCGTGTATTCGCAAAAAGATTCCACATGCTGGCGTTTGCAGTAAATGCTCTAAGCAGATGCACCTTCTCAAGCATTTGACCGTCAGCTCACCTGTGATAACATTTGACGAGAAGCAAGGTAACACAGCATCAACGCAACTGCTAACAGCATTTTCACAGTCCCTAATCTCTACGACAGCTGCTGGTTTTACTCCTTCATTAAGCTGACGGATCTCGACATAAAAGGCTATAAACGACAGACGTAGCAGGACAAAGTTGACATGGAGACGATGTCAAAACATTACAGGGTAAAGCTAAATAGTGATTACACGTTGAGTTCAAATCAAATACAGGTATACTGCATAGATGTGAGAAAGCCAAGTTACACATTGTCCGTGATCGATTCAAATAGTTTTCTCTATCTAAATCAATCAATCTCAAAAGGTTTGGAAACGTCCCCTCGCAACAATATTCTATGTTTCCATAGCAACAAAGTCAACACATTACAACCTTAAACAAAATGACCATGAATACAAAAAGAATGAACTTCAAATCAAATACGAGTTGGTCAAGTTATGCTGTCGTAGCGTTTCCATTGTGTTGAATTCCAGCCGTTGAGTCCGGCTTAAACTGTACCACAATGAAAACGTAGGTGAGGAGGGTGCCGATGATCTGTGTAAACAAAGACGGAAAGTTATTGATTTATTGTTAGTTTATAGCCTCAATGAACATAGCAAATTTCTTTAAAGCTGATTGTACATTATCGACTCAATCCATGACAATTCAGTGATTGACATCATGAGCCGTGATCTCGCAATTGGGACACTACTGTTATGTACCAATGCTATTTGTTGTGTGATAATTTTCCAAGCGTAATATATTGTACTCGTGGATAGTCGGTGGAGTGGAATATTTAGACTTGTGCTATAATTAGACAGAGCTCTAGAAGGTACTGCAACAATGTGAACCTTTCCTCTTTATTTTGACCCAGGTATTAGAGAAGCTTCTGGAAAGTTTGTCTTTGGCACATAATGGTTGCAAATGCAGGCCTATTATCTGACATTTCATCTGAAGTTACAATAAGTCTAATAATGTTTAGGAAATCATTCTTAACCCGAATATCATTTACGTCTAATTTTGGAGAGTTGTCCATTGTTGCAGTTAGGTTGATATTACCATCACTGTCTTTGTATTCTACTGCCTTTGAATTTGCACTGACTCTGTAATACCTTGACAGTGATTGTGATTTGAACGGCATTTGTTTCATCTACACGTAAGAATATGTATACACCAATTAAGCCTGACGCGGCGATATGGTATGTTACTTCTTATTATAAGCACGAGTTGCTGAAGACCAGTTCTTACCCGGATCTTCTTGGTTAATAAATAATGGCTTGACAACTGGGTTGCATGGAGCTAGATTGGTTAGAGACAAAAATTCTGTTTAAGAAATACAGTTCGACCTATCCCATGTAGAAGTGTAATAAAGTACACTTTTGCCAGGAACTATTATAGTTAAAGTACGGTGACGCTTGCGTCCGAGTGCTTCCACGTTATAATAGTTCAGCGCAAAAGTGTACAGTGCTTTATTACACCATACATGGGGTAGGCGAACTGTATTTCTTTTCTATGATGCCAAATTTAATACTTACCACCGATTGATCTAAAGCAGAAAACAAACAGAAAAACTACAATGTCGGTGACCTAAATTAACAATCCTCGTTGAGGGCAAACTGACGTGCTATTCTATTAACGTTGACCCTACGTTAACACGCACGTTATCAAGAAACCAAGACTTAGTGTTGAACAGTTTGAAGACGGTTTATATTCAGGTTAATTATCTTCTATATATTATTTTTAATAAATCTGAGATTATCGTAAACCATGTGGAACAATATGAACGTCGTATTTCTACTACCAACGTAAGTTTAGAACAGTAAATGCAGATGAAGCTGACTAGTTACCCGACGTTCCACGGATACATTGTTGGACTGTGGACACAGGCTTAGTTAGCTAAAATGGCCGTGTCCCTATTTAATTGTGAATCGAGCTGAGATATTAATGTTCCGTCGAAAAAGTTAAACGTAATGTTTCCACCGGTGATGTTAGCCGAGAGACGTAACTGCAAACCAACAAACCAGGCGCTACGGAGTAGTTTACTATAGGAGACTGTACGAGGCAATGATATCTGACATGCAACGTGACGTCGGTTATCAAGGCTACGTTTGATAACCATGGGCTTTATCGCCCGATAAAGTCCTGTCGGCAATTTTTATCATTTAGCGTAGCATCTTAAAATCTATCTTAAAGTCTGGAATAATCCACTGTGATCCCATGTAGGTTGATCTAGATGCATTGACCCTACCGTTAGGATAGTGTCCTTCGTGATGGTCATGAGGCCTAAAGCGCTGATTCCGATCTGACGTTGAGACAACTTGTTGGCGAACAGTGTGACCTGCATCTGGGTGTACAGATCGAAAGAAAAACATGATATAGACAAAGTACAACGTATGCATGACATGTTAAATAACAACGTTAAACATGTGTCTTCAGATAGATGAGTATGAATGACTGAGCTGGATGTTCGGAAAGACTTCCGTCACGCTGGTTAGTTATTATATACTGCATACATAACCGTATTGCACTGCAGTTTTGGATGCCTGAAACTTCAGTTTATATGTGAATGAATGTCAGTTTAAACGAGAAGGGATTCTAGCTGGCCTGAAATATACAGTTTACAAAGTGTGAGTTAATTAGAAATACAACTGACAGAGTGTGTTGCCGAAGTATGTATAGCGAATGTGGCCACCAGCTGTACTTCGTAATCATGACGTACATATACCATAGTGATCGTTTTTATTCAGCCAGTTGGAACACAGGAAATATAATGAGGACACACCGAAATGTATCATAAGTACATATAACAATAACATAAATAATATTATATATACTTAATCAATGCTCGTTCCGCAGTTTCTAATAAAACACTTAAATGTATTTTAGGATACAGATGAAGAGTCTCTGAATTTGTTATAATATTTTCTTACCAGTCCAATAACTCTATCAGGCATATTTTCCCCAGTCATGTCCAGGAGAAGATTCAGAGGTCGGTGTGCCTGTAAACAAACATTGTAGTAATAACCACCCGTGATATTAGACCGTTGCTTTCCGAAGGTAGTTCATAGGTTGAACGTTTTTCTCTTCCAAACTACACAGCCTGCAGTTTAACACACGTCTAAGGCTGATACAAACAATATTCACCCCCATTAGTAGCTACATAGGAAATCGTATGATTTCATTCAGTTGCACAGTGTCTATAACGAAAACAAAAAGCTGTTATTGGTGTCGTCATTTAAATATGAATAGATAATTCAACTACTGAATTGGGAACATTGTTAACCTAAATTGTACATTAAAGTACAATCATACTCAATCATACGAATAATTTCTGCTTAGATCTGAAAACATGATTTTATTTGGGCAAAAATGAAATTTAACACTTACCGCTTCGTGTAGTCTGACACCAATATATGTGAGGGCGATGAGATGCAATATAGATATATACAGAGCAGCTGCAACTATACCAATGTTGGCAATGGATTTCTCGTTGTTGATGCCGCTGTACAGGCAGAAACACACAATGAGGAAGGAGCTGACGTACCCAGCAGCGACGTGTCTGGACATGAGGGTACACACATGTTCAACTAGATCTGTTAAAGATGCATGATACCCTCGAATGTCCTCAATATCTTCTTCTTCGACAGATCCTTTATTAGCCCTTGACAGTCTCAATGTGCAATTATCATACTCATAAGTAAGGAGAAGTGAGATGGACAAAAACAGAAGCAATAACGAATTGTTTAGCAGACAGGTACAGCCACCAACTATCGACGATAATACAAGCAAAGGCCAATACCAGTCACTCGATGTGTCACCCATCGTGCCCTGGGCTACGCCACTGGAAACACAGGCACATGCTGCGAAGACCAGCATACATACACACGCCATCTTCATTCTCTGACTCAACCTAGTTGCTGGAACACAACTGTTAAACTTCATCCTTGTTTCACGGAGACGTTCGTGGAATGTACGAACCTTGCTGTGGATGTTGGTACTGAGAGCCCAATAGGTTAGAAATAAAAAAAGTGCGATGCTATTTGATATGGTGAGACTTGTTTCCGAGAATGATCCTGCTTTCGTATAGTATGGTATCATCTGGATAAAATTCAGAGAAAGAAGTATGAAAACCAAACTTGAATATATCCTGGAAGCTACTACCGAGACGTTGCACCATTTGGCTGACTTTGACTGCTGATAGTCCCATGATAAGCCGGACAATGCTATCAGTTTCTGGATACTTGTCAGTGTGTCCTGTACATCATCTGTTTGACTGGATGAACCAACGTTGTCTGGGGAAACCTTAAACATCTTTCACAGACTGGATACTAAATGTTCGTTGTGTCTCTTTGTAAGTTATACCATCTGATGGTTCCGTTTACAGTGTTTGAAGTAACTGTCTCCATGTGTTACTCCAGTCACCACAGAACGCCGAATGCACATTAGGTCCACAAAACGTTGAAATGGATATTGGGAGTATATCAGTCCCCATAATCAAACATCACGACAAACGGAACCAATTGTCCGAAGTTGCAATCAGCCGTTAATGGATAGTTGACAATTAGACTGATTGATCAATCAACATCTGAGGCATTATACCTAATGGGAATTATTGTGGGTTATTTCTATTGAATGCGACATTATAAATTACTTTACATCTGAACGCAGTCTAAATAAGTGCCGAATACTTCTTTTCCATTAGCAGCATGATTATGCTCCTTTCAACCATATGGAAACACCATTTGGCGCATATGGTCTCGGTTTCAGCAAAACAATCAAATTATAGACCGTCAGTGCCCGACCACGAGTCATGACACTACATCAAGTTTCAACAACGCACGTGTGAAACAGGTTCCAGCCAGCAACCCTTACAGCCGGTACCGCATCTGGCAACAGATGTAGCTGCACGAATAGACATCTATGCATCTACGGCATCTGTGAAAGACGCTCAGTCCCACGAGCAATTTTTACGACGGAACATTAACGTTCACGTCTCAGATGCAGAAGGGAATACTGGTGATGGGAAGCACGTCCGTAGAGAAGTGTCATGTTTTCTCCTTTACTGAACTGACGGCATGACACATGTCCTATGGATGAATCAGAATGAATCAGATTCTGACAGTATCATTCATACCTTGACAGCAATCAACATTTGCTATCATTTCTGTTTCAATGCATTATAAATCCAACGTTTTGCCTTCCTTGCCAATTTCTATGCTTTTCAAGCGAATGACCATTACTTATCAGTTCTGATTAATGGCATTTGAAAAAAATCAACATGATCGCTGATACTACCTTGTATTCCTTTTTGCTTCATGTTAAATGGCGAGGCACCATCTGATAATGTGATGTATCTGATTTTGAGATGACCCCTTTTGTCCGTCACTGATAGTGACTCCATGCACATTTGCATGTCCAAGTGGCTGTTCCGATTAGTCGCCTTACGCCCTTGACAGTTAAGATGTTATACTGTCTTGACATAATGACAGCTTATGTAGACAACTTGTTTATTATCAAATCATAATTCATGAAATTCAAAATTCATAATGGTAGACTAAAACAGGTGACACGTTAACAATAGTTGATATTTAAATATAATGTCTGTCGACAAAGGACAGTAAAACGACTTGAATATCACAATTTGAAATATTTAAACTAATATTAAAATTATACACAAATTTGGGACAACACAATATAAAAACGGGTTATAGATCGCCAACAACTAAGGGTAGATCACCATACTAGGAACCATGGGGGGGGGCTATTGTTGTCAAATTTAGCCAAAGATTAAAAGAACACATATTCTGCAATTAAAATACTTATTATGAAAAAATACTTTCAACGAAATTGGACTTACATACATATATATGATTGAAAGTAATATGGATTGATCTATCGATCAATGTCTGGCTCATTATTACCCTGGAGACTTTACGAGTGAACAAATGGCTTCCTATGCGGTAGCTGATAGTGTTTGTTGAAATACCAACGAAGAATTGAAATGTGCAGGAAACCACGCCATGGGAAATGATCTGTAAGCATCATGTTGAACACTTAGTGACATATAACACATCACAACAGAAAACCGCACTTGCGTCATTGAAAGCCAACCCATGACATACACCGAACGTTGTCTTTGAACTTTTGCATTCACCACCAGATCATTCCAGTTTTTATAGGGACTAATTCAGAACAGCCATCGTCCAAATATTTAAAAAGTCCAAAACTATGTACTCAAGACATGTGAGACTTTATTGTTATATATATATATATGACGCTAAGCTGTATTTTTAATCACTACTGTACATCCTTATCACTACCGCATTGTAAATTGACTTGTCAGCCCATTAATTATTGTATAAGACATTTATAACCTTCATTGGTAATCCCCCTTGGCCGTGTCTGCCATCACATCAGCTGGTCAAGGAAGTGCTATTATTTTTCTGTCTGTCCATTGATGAGTTGTCGCCTGTCCATTGTTGTCAAAAACTGTATATATACTTAGTATGCTCACTTCTAGACAGTGGAGGAGTACGAGTTCGGTATTTGGACTGTCTGTTGGGACGACCACGAGCAGGATAATGCCGCTCGTAAGAAACGCCCTGGGGTTGAGCAGGTACACCGCTCGCCTCGCTCATGTCTTGTGTATTTGTTTGTCATGTACTAAAGAAGTTTGAACTCAACTATGCCTTCAACTTCATCAACGCACACTTCATCTTAATTATGAGCCAATTCCCCAATTGACGCGTATACACGCGTTGACAATCTTGATGTTAGAATCCGGCTGGAGTAACGTTTTAGCTTACTCACGGTCCTGAAACCTCGCTATGTGCCTACCATTAACATGATGTATCAAGGATGATTCCCCAAGTTCTACGTCTACTTGAAGAGATTACAAGCGTCTTGATCAACATGGATCCTCAACGCTGCCATCTTGAATGGAGCATCATACAACAACCACCTGATGGACAACCTACAAGTTAAGGATGAAACACCCAGATACCACACTCCAAGCAAGTACTTGTGTCTCTCCCTCAGAGATCTGATCACAGCCATCAATATGGAGATCCTGTATTCATACAGAAAATACCTCAAGGACATCTTCAAGACGGACATTGTGTACAACAGAACTCATCAGGACCTACTTATCTGTGTGTTCTTAAATGGACTCAGTTCAGGATATACAATGTGTTACTGTTGATAAGTGCAACCAGGTATGTTAGATCACAGGCCAGTACATTATTACCTTCTTATGTCTATACCATAATGTATTAATTGCATGTGAACAATGTGTTCCAAATTACTTCTGTAATATGAAGTCAGAATAGGGATATTCTTGGGCCCAGCCACCCATAAACACACGTGTATTTTAGTGTGTCAGTATTAAGAAAACATTAACAGCGAAGTAATATTCAGCATTTTAGAGTTTTGAAGTCAGAGTAGGATTATTTTTTTTCCTCATTGGGCGTAGCACCAACAATATATGGGCAAGCTCTGTCAACGACACAGGAATAGCACCCATTGTAGGATTATTATTTTTTACTGGGCATAGCACCCACACTATATGGGCAAGCTCCGTCACAGACACGGGAAGAGCACCCATCTTACTTAAAAGGGCAACAGTACCCACAAGTACCGTCTGAGTCGCGCGGTAAAGTTAGACTCCTGGTTTCAAATTTCTTCATGTGAAATATTTGCTGAGATGTTTAATGTGTACTTTTTTTGACGCCAATTATTGTCATTATTGGGTCCTGACCCTCACCTCCCGATTTCAAAGATATTTACCAAAGTAGTAAATACCTGGATGTGAAGTGTACATTACAAAGATTATTTGATTATTCTTCTAATAAGTCAGACTGGCAAGATGATCACAGTTATACCGTAATTGCATAGATATATTTGTTGCACGAGATTTCAATGACTTTAAGAATGGTTCCTTTGTGATTATTTACCGGTCTGAACTGTTTGTATTTATATAGCTTCACTCCTATCAGTTTATTTAAGCTTGGGGTCCAAGCTTTACGGAGCAGAGGGAAGTTGTTATAGGGACTAATGCAGGACAGCCATCGTCCAAATATTTAAAAAGTCCAAAACTATGTACTCAAGACATGTGAGACTTTATTGTTATATATATATGACGCTAAGCTGTATTTTTAATCACTACTGTACATCCTTATCACTACCGCATTGTAAATTGACTTGTCAGCCCATTAATTATTGTATAAGACATTTATAACCTTCATTGGTAATCCCCCCTTGGCCGTGTCTGCCATCACATCAACTGGTCAAGGAAGTGCTATTATTTTTCTGTCTGTCCATTGATGAGTCGTCGCCTGTCCAGTGTTGTCAAAAAACTGTATATATACTTAGTATGCTCACTTCTAGACAGTGGAGGAGTACGAGTTCGGTATTTGGACTGTCTGTTGGGACGACCACGAGCAGGATAATGCCGCTCGTAAGAAACGCCCTGGGGTTGAGCAGGTACACCGCTCGCCTCGCTCATGTCTTGTGTATTTGTTTGTCATGTACTAAAGAAGTTTGAACTCAACCATGCCTTCATCTTCATCAACGCACACTTCATCTTAATTATGAGCTAATTCCCCAGTTGAAGCGTATACCACGCGTTGACACAGTCACAAATTTCTTTTCATTCGCGTTCTGTCATTAGTCATCCACAGATTCATTATATTACTGATTTATTTCTAAGGCAAATATCAGCTCACGATAGAGTCACATTTGTACAACCGACTTTTGGCAGACACTCCTTATTAATGTGGAAAGGGTTTTGTCGCTTCTTTTTGCCACGTGCTGTGTGGATGCATAGTCTGTTAGGTAAGGACAAATTGTAGTGGACAAGAGTTTCATCTGTGAGTGTGTCATTCTAATATGGGAAAATCCAAAATAAAACATCCTGTCCAGTGTATATGGAACCAGTGAAGTATACGCTTGTATAGAATGTACAATTTGAAATTCTTCAGAAGCCATATAAACCACACTGTTAATATTAATACCAGTAATAATTTATTTATCATTATCAAGAACTTTTGTTGGGTTTCGAACCCACACCCTCAGAGTCAGGCACCTAATAGCCAGCACACAAAGTTAGACTCAACCCAACAAAGTACTAAAATCTGTACTTTACTAAGAAAGTGTTATCTCAAATGTAAGATATTTGACAGGTTTTATAGGCTAAAAATATTAATGGATACTTGTTTCAGTCACGATTCGGTTGAAAACTGACGATGTGATAAGAAATGACAACAAAGTCTCTCACTGAATAACGAATGGCTCAAGTATTCGTCGGTCCCACTATATTGCCGTAGCGTTGTTTCCATCTTGTCGACTACCACCACTTGATTCCGGCTTAAACTGGATCACAATGAAAACGTAGGTGAGGAGAGTACCGATCATCTGTCCAAACAATGAAGCAAAAGTTATTGATATATTGTAGGCTACAGCTATGTGATGGCGGTCTTTAAATATGGATGACCCGTGAAGGTCCGGGTTAGAATTGATCTTCAGTAACCCATGCTTGTCATAAGAGGCGACTAACGGGATCGGATGGTCAGGCTCGCTGACTGGGTTGACACATATCATCGTATCCCAACTGCGTAGATCGACGTTCATGCTGTTGATCCCTGGATTGTCTGGTCCAGATTATTTACAGACCGCCGCCATATAGCTGCAATATTGCTGAGTGCGGCGTAAAACTAAATTTTCACTCACTCACAAACAAACAATGGAAAGTGGGCAAGACGTAACATTAACCGACACAGTGAATTTCGATCTCGGCACCTGGGAAAAAAGATGTATCAATCAAATCAGCTAGTCTGGCCGGTTCTTCACTAAGCAACGCAATTGGCGGATAAATACGTACATAAAAGAAACTATGTATGGATATAATGTCATATCTTTAGTGGAGAAAAGAACGATTTTATGATACAACCAGGAAAATACCATTGTGGATAAATGCGTGTTGAGTTATATGCATTCAGCATACCGTTAGGATAGTGTCCTTCGTGATGGTCATGAGTCCTAAGGCGCTGATTCCGATCTGACGTTGAGACAACTTGTTGGTGAACAGAGTGACCTAGATGTACAGATCGTATGATAAATATTCAACTGACAACAGGCAACGTAAACATTTCATCACAATGTATCACATGTGCTTCTTTGCGGGACATGAACGAAGTGTTTATATTCATATCATAATTATTTATCATTATTTTGACCCTTAGGGCGCACCATCAATTGATTTTAGATATGCACGTGCTTCGGTCAAAGGCGAGCATTGTAAACTGTTCGATAATACGGAAAATCAGTTGATTTCGTTTTTAATATGCAAAGGTATTGGTATGAGCAATGTTGGCATATCAATGATACCTATTGCAAGGGATGTTGTTTATCATTCATCGACTATAGACCGTTGGCTAGAAAGCGTTAGGAACTAATGACGTTAAGGACCGTCGACTACAAGTGACCTACGGAGGATGCAGCACTTCTCAGAATATTAAGACTTCATCCATTCATTGCAAGTCGCGCTTTAAAACAGAATGGCTGCCACATATTCGTTGTGTCAATAAACCGGCTATAATAGAACCAGAGGATCTATCAGACCTTCATGGACCTCCAAGTTTCAGTAAACTTTCAGAGAAAAGAAAATGTTATTTCTTAAAAGGAAAAACACATAAACACCTATAAACACTGAACGCCTTTGGTGGCGATGGTGGCGATGGTGGTGGAGGTGATGGTGGTGGTGGTTGTGGTGTGTGTGTGTGTGTGTGTGTGTGTGTGTGTGTGTGTGTGTGTGTGTGTGTGTGTGTGTGTGTGTGTGTGTGTGTGTGTGTGTGTGTGTGTGTGTGTGTGTGTGTGTGTGTGTGTGTGTGTGTGTGTGTGTGTGTGTGTGTGTGTGTGTGTGTGTGTGTGTGTGTGTGTGTGTGTGTGTGCGAGGCACTTGATTACCTATCATGTCAAAAAATGCCATGCATGGAATTGACTCTGCCCTTTGTGCTTTGATTTATGTTGGGTAGACAGAGCAGGGATTATCGACACGAGTCAGTCAGTGAAGGTGATTGAGGGATATTTCCTACATTAACTGCACTAAATATTGAACTATTCAGCCAGACGCAGGAATTATGATCAACAAAACATGCATGCATAATTAAAAGAACATATCCAATTAATTCAAGAAGAGTTGTCATTCAGCAAACAGTTACAATTGTTTTCTTACCAGTCCAATTACTCTATCTGGCATATTTCTCCCAGCCAAATCATGCAGAATATTCAGAGGTTGATGAGCCTGTATACAAACATTGTAATTATTTACTTCAAATAAAATGATGAAAAAAAACAGTTTGAAAATTCACTAATTCAAGGTGGTTCGTGGACGCGCGGTTCGTGGACGATTTCCTTTCGCAGCAATTTATCGGTCCACTTGTCATCTCCTAAACATCTGATACATTAATGGAAGAATGGTAGAGAAGGCAAAATTCAATAATGCCACTCTTATTGCAGAAGAATTAGCATTATTTTCAAAGGCATTGGGATTTAAATGTGGTGAAATCATGAAAACATTTCACATGGGTTCTTCCTAGAAAGAAGAAAGCATTAGAGAAAGTCCAATGAAAGCTTTATGAATCATGTATATCATAGAATCTATTTGTGATCAGATGGACATTCAGTACATTTAGAATGTGTCATTTTCTGTATTATGTATGTCATTGTACACCTTTACAACTATATTCTAACCCTTACCGCTTCATGCAGTCTGACACCAGTATAGGTGAGGGCGATGAGATGAGTAATGGACGAGCTCACAGCAAATGAGGTGACGGCCAGGGTCGTAAAAGACTTCTCTTCGTTGATGATGCTGTACAGGCAGAAACACACAGCGAGGAAGGAGCTGACGTAGCCAGCAGCCACGTGTCTGGACATGAGGGAACACACATGTTCCACCAGGTCTGTTAAGGATGCATGGTAATCTCGAATGTCCTCAATATCCTCTTCTTTGACGGACCCTTCAGAAGCCCTTGTCAGTCTCAGTGTGCAATTATCATACTCATAAGTAAGAAGAAGGGAGATGGACAAGAACAGAAGCAATAACGAATGGTTAAGCAGAGTGATCCAGCCAGTAATTATTGAAGACAAGGCGAGTGAAGGCCAAAAGTAAAAATTGGATGTATCACCTAGTTTGCTAATACATAATCCGATGGCCACAATAGTGGAAGCCGCGAAGAACGTAATGCATACACATGCTTTCTTCATCCTCTGCCTCAGTCCCGTTGCTGTAGCACAACTGTCAAACTTCAATCGTGCTTCGCGAAGACGTTTGTAGAATATGCGAACCTTGCTGTGGATGTTGGTACTGAGAGCCCAATAGGTTAAACTTAACAAAGTCACAATGTGGTTTACGATGGTAAGAGTTGCGTCGATGAAAGATTTAGCGGCAATATACGGCGGAATCATCTGGATACAGTGGAGAATGTAAACTATGCACACCATAACTGAATATATCCGGGAAGCTACCGTCCAACCGTTGCAACATTTTTCGGCAGACTTCGGCTGCTGATAATCCCATGATAACCCGGACAATGCCATCAGTCTCTGGATACATGTCAGTGTGTCCTGTACATCATCTGTTTCACTGGGAGTACCAATGTCATTGTTGACAACCTTAGACATTTTCCACAGACTGGATAACAAATGTGTGATGAATACTCGGACTGCACCTTCCGCTCGTACTGTTCTCAACTCAATGTGACCAGTATTTGAAGATAATAGTTTCCATGACGATGCTTTTGTTAACTCCGAACACATTTCATTCTCACAAACATTCTATAATGTTAGAAAGTGAAGAGGCGATTCCAATGTGAGTAAATACAACAGTATTCGTCTAGTGTAATTACATTCACATTACGAGCTTAAACAGTTAAAAGCTTTTATTGTAAGTCTGTATACAAATCTGTCTGAAACGCTTTGTCAATCAAGCTATGGCACATTATTCAAAAGAGTCAAATAGTTTTGCGGGTTGTAATGATGGGTTCCTAAATCATTAAGTGATAGCTGTTATTTCAAGCAAAAAATGTCTGCATTTGAAAACTACAGTTAGTCATCTCGGTCTGTGAGAGTAAATATATGAAAGCATTAAAACAACCTTTGCGTTTGATGAAGTGGAATTGTCTGTAATTTGGTTAATGGAATTCTGTTCCCCCAAAAGACCGTAGATCTGTATGTCAAACTGGAGAGTCTAGACTGGCATTACGATGCATTATAGGATGAATTGACTATCATCTGTGTATTTGTCTGCAATGCTGTTTGTTGATATTTAATCTCTTAAAGTAAGGCCAAATTGTAATTGACCATAGTTCATCCGATATAATGTGTGTTGTTATAAGGCTGTGTACTAGATCCAGTAAGTGTCAGTAGTGAGCTATATTTAGACTTCTGGAGACTTTCAACGTCTTCTGACTCACAGAATATCGAATGATCTGGAAAGGGCTACAGAGACCTCATTTCAGAAGAGCTGCATGTAAGTGGAGTTAACTCTTGCCTGTCATCTCACATTGCATCATTAGTAACAAGTACAGAGAAGACCTGCATGTTGTTCTATGATCGTACCCTCTCCAGGCGACGCTGCAAGTTGGATTACTGTTGCTGACAGGTGGATTTTACCATCATTGTCTTTATTGCTATATAATCGCTGCTCTTGTATTTTACTGACTCTGAACATAATTACTGCCATACAATACATAGCTGAATTTTTTGCATTGATTTGTGCACTTAGTCAATTTTAGAATACGATTGTTAATTACATCATATTATTTCATTCTTATATTTCCTTCGCAGAGTCGAATGTAAGTCAAATTAATTGTAGAATTGTATAGAATGTACATTTTGTAACCCATTGGTGTGGTGGTGTGTGGTCCTGTGCATAGAGCTCAGCTAACAAATCAGTTGAAGTTAAGCAACGTTGGGCACGGAGAGTCCTTAAAACGGGTGACCGTGTTTGGCAGCTGGACTCCTGAGAATTTCTAGGAGTTCACTCCTGTCCCACAGCGAATCTCCTGTGATACATGTGGTCTCACCTTAGGCAAGTGAGTTTGTTCAAAATTACCTCTGTTCACAAAGCAGAAAATGGGTACCCGGTGGAATAGGTCATGTGACTATTAACCTTCTTGAGCCTCACAGGCAGCTTGGGAAATCCGGGTAAATAATGTGCTGTGCTTTGATTGTTAGCGCTATGAGCATTTACCTAGTGAATGGAGACGGAACCAACCAAACATTGTATGACAGGTTAGGACAAATTGTAATCCTAATTGATTATTGTATCAGGGTTTCTTAGTCTAATGTGAAATGACGAACCCAACAAAAGCTTTTATCGTGATAAAATAGCATGTACATGTATTATGGAATAGGCATTGTTTAAGTTAAAACAGGCTTTATTATCAGTGCTATGTATTACTACAATACTTATTTACAGGCGCACCGACCTCTAAATGTTCTCCTGGACATAACTGGAAAAATATTTCTGATAGAGTTTTTAGACTGGTAAAAAAACACTTTAACAAATTCAGAGACACCTCAGTACCTAGAAAATACAATTAAATGCGGGAACCGTGTTTAGGAATAACAAGTTTTTATCTGTGGAACCGGTTTTGTTAGAAACGAGGAACGAGTATTGATTTGGCATTTAAAATATGATTTATGTTATTTTACATGTTTTTGTAATTACTCTTATGATCAATGTTCGTGTGTGGTCATCGAAATATGATATGACTGAATAGCACGATTACTATAGTCAGTCATGCCTACTAAGTAAAGCTGGCCTCCACATTCGCTATACCTGAACATACTTCGGCAACACACACTGCTAGTTGTATTCTAACTGCGAACTGTGTATTTCAGGTCAACTTGAATCTCTTCTCATGGTTGAAATTCACATATAACATGAAGATTTGGGCATCTAAAGCTGCAGTGAAATATAGTTATGTATGCAGTATTTGATACCTGACCAGAGCGACGGAAGTCTTCCGAACATCCAGCTCAGTCATTACTTCTCAATATTCTTACTCAAATATTCTGAACACATATTTGTTGGTGTTATTTAACATTTCATGTGTACGTTGTGTTTTGTGTATATCATGTTTTTCTTACGTTATGTACACCCAGCTGCAGGTCACACTGTTCGCCAACAAGTTGTCTCAACGTCAGATAGGAATCAGGTCTTTAGGACTAATGACCATCACGAAGGACACTATCCTAACGGTAGGTTGGATACATATTTTCCAGATTAAACATAAAATAGAATAGCCATTGTAGCTCAAATTTAACTCCGTTCTCATGCCTGCGGTGATTTTCAGTCACTACTTCTCAAAACAAGGACAACGATGACCAGTGGTTGTAAATTACATTTATGAATATTATATACACGTACTTTTAAAGTTTTTAAGAAGTAATATCAATGTGATTGTTCTTCCTCAGCCTTTACGTGTTTCACAATGAACGATGTACATAAGTTAGACATACATGTTACGTCTGAGGAGGTTATCTTTTATGATATAACCTCATGACTGTTGACATCCCTGTTATCAGAACTTCACGCAGCTTTCTGACCATGCATGTCTGTTGTTGCTATTTAACATGTCGTGCATTCATGTATACGTTGTGTTTTGTCTCTATCGTGTTTTTCTTACGATCCGTACACCCAGCTCCAGGTTACACTGTTCGCCAACAAGTTGTCTCAACGTCAGATCGGAATCAGTGCTTTAGGACTAATGACCATCACGAGGGACACTATATCCTAACGGTACGTTATATACATATAGATCAACCTATATTTGACCACAACGGAATTTTCCAGATTTAAAAGTAAGATAGAATTTTATTTGCCACAATAGCCAATGTAGCTTTAATGCAGCTCAAGCCACTACTTACCAGAGAGACCCGTGAAGGTCCGGGTTAGAATTGATCTTCAGTAAACCATGCTATTCGTGAGAGGCGACTAACGGGATCGGGTGGTCAGGCTCGCTGACTGGGTTGACACATGAAATCGGTTCCCAATTGCGCACATCGATGCTCATGCTGTTGATCACTGGATTATCGGGTCCAGATTCGATCATTTACAGACCGCATCCATATAGCTGGAATATTGCTGAGTGCGGCATAAAACTAACTCACTCACTCACTCACTTACCAGAGAAAATCCGAGTAAAATCAGGGCTCAAGCAACCCAACTTTTCCTAAGAAGTACCCGTTGATTCACAAACTGAAACTAATACAGTACTTTACCGGAAATCAGTCCGTGAAAACATTCTGGTTAAAAGCAACAATCAACAAAGAGATGGGACCATACTTAACCATTGTACTCAAAAATTAACAACGTTCTCAAGTTAATACAAGTCCCTATACTAATACAAATCACTATCACGGTGTAACTGTGGCAGTATAAAATAGAGTGAGAGTATTTATTCAAAGGCAGTATAATACAAATGCTGTGGTTATTGAAATAAGGATGATGATGATAATATTCACCTCAATGCAACAATAGTCAAGTTTCCAAAATTTGGCCTCGTCTGAATACCTTAGATAAGAATTATTTCCTCACAAGTACTGGTGTTCTTGAGATGTAAAGTGAGAAGAGAGCCAAGCTCCCCTATTATTGTTGAGAAAACACACCCTGTAGTACCTTCCAGATCTAAGTATCTAAGTATAGCACCAGTCTAAATATAGCCTGCCACTGCTTCTCACTGACTATCCACATGTACAAGGTATCACACTTAAAACATTGTTACACAATAAATAACATTGCTACATAACAATATTATTGTATCCCAGTTGCGAGATGATGATGCCAATCACTGGTTTGGCTCAGAATGACTCCATGATGTACAACCCTTCCAAAAGTTGGAATATTTTTAGTGCGGCTTTAACTAACAATAAATCAATAACTTTCCTTCTTTGTTCACACAGATCATCGGTACCCTCCTCGCCTACGTTTTCATCGTGATCCAGTTTAACTCGAACTCAACGGTTGGAATTCAACACAATGTAAAAAGCTACGACAGCGTAACTTCACCAACTCGTATTTGACTTGAACTTCACGCTTTTGAAATTGTAATTTGTTGCTATGGAAATATAGAATATCCAGTTTCCAATACCTGCCCAAACAACTTTCACGCGGCATGAAAGATATGATAGAACAATTTATAGAGTAAAACGTTTTGAATCGATCACGGACAAAGTGTAAATAGGCTTTCTCACCTATATGGGTATATGGGTATGAACTCAACGTGTTTTACCAACAGCTATTTAGCTTTACCCTGTAATGTTTTGACATCGTCTCTAATGAAACACTGTCCCGCAACGTCTGTCTTGTACTGGATAAACAATGTATATGGACCAAAGAGATCAACAGGCTGGGATACACATTCATTAATGCGCATTAAGCATATTACAGAGAAAAGTGTTCCAGAACGTCAGTTTAAACAACACTTTACATGTTACTTCATCTCAGATATTCTACCAACACAAAATTTTACCGTATTGATTAATCAGTTTAGACAATGAACTTATCAACTGTCCATTAAAGGCTTTTTTGCAAATGAGGACAATCTGGTGCATCTGATGACTGTCACACAATACATGCCGTGGTATAATCACGTTTATTGACATACTGGCTCGTCCCCCTTATTTCCATTTTCAACCTGTTATGGGAGTAGTGTGCATTCGGCGTTCTGTATTGACTGGTGTATCAACACTGAAATCATTATTCCCAATGCTGGTGAGCTGACAGCGGGCATATGTTGGTCTAACGTACAAGGTGACCCGCCATACGTTATCCAGGCTGTGGAGGATGTTAAAGGTTTCCCCAAATATGGCTTCTACATCGTGCGAAATGGGTGATGTGCAGGTCACACTGACAAGTATTCAGAGACTGGTAGCATTGTCCGGATTATCATGGGACTATCAGCAGCCGAAGTCAGCCAAATGGTGCAACGTCTTGGTGGTAGCTTCCAGGATATATTCAATTTCGTTTTGCATATTTCTTATTCTGTATTCTATCTTGATGATACCATACTATACGAAAACTGAATCATTCACGGAGACAAGTTTTCCCTTAGCAAATAACTTGTTAACTTTGTTATGTCTAACCTACTGGGCTCTCAGTACCAACGTCCACAGCAAGATTCGTACATTCCACGAACGTCTTCGCGAAACACGGTTGAAGTTTAACAGTTCTGTTTCAGCCACTAGACTGAGTCAGAGGGTGAAGAAGGCCTGTGTATGTTTTCTGGTCTTCGCGGCATTTATCTGTGTTTCCAGTGGCCTAACCGTAAGCATAATGGGTGTTTCATCCAGTGACTTGTTTTGGCCTTCACTCGTATTGACTTCGATAATTAGTGGCTGGATAACTCTGCTAAACCATTCGTTATTGCTTCTGTTCTTGTCCATATCCCTTCTTCTTACTTATGAGTATGATAATTGCACACTGAGACTGTCAAGGGCTTCTGAAGGGTCCATCAAAGAAGAGGATATTGAGGACATTCGAGGTTACCATGCATCTTTAACAGACCTGGTGGAACATGTGGTTTCCCTTATGACCAGACACGTGGCTGTTGGCTACGTCAGCTCCTTCCTCATTGTGTGTTTCTGTCTGTACAACATCATCAACGACGAGGCATCATATGACAACATTGGCATTGCAGTAACTGCTATTTACATGTCTACTTTACATCTCATCGCTCTCACCTATATTGGCATCAGATTGCACGAAGCGGTAAGAATTTTGACGAAGCTATACGTTGATACCCTGTTAAACAGAACATCCTAGAAATGACGCGGATGTCACTTTCAGTGGAAGATTGATTCAGATTGGCTTGTCAGGACAATTCAGATTACAATCTTTCAATTTCAGTAGTTTATCTGTTCATTTCAGTAAATGATCTATTCATATGTACATGACGAACCAAACAACTCCTTTTATCGTGATAAATAACACGTGTCTGTGCAACTACTGAAATGGGTGTATATTTTTTCTACTTGTATCAACCTTCCAATTGTGTTACACTGCAGAGGGTGTAGGTGTGAAGAGGAAAACGTTCAACCAATGAGATAGCTACTAAAACCAATGGTTTCATCAGAAAAAATGTATACTAGGCACATAAAGAAACTGTGCATACAAAAATTGAAAATCTAAATTTATCAAACCTGTGTAGACGCATCTAATACCTTGATGACACCAATAGATTTTCTTTGGGTATCATCAGATTGGCAAAAATCATCTAAATTTGGAAACGTTTAGCAAAACAGTGTTATGATATTATATTTGAGGGGCAGGAATTAAACATGTTTGGGCTAATGATTACCCGAGCTGACTACCTCTTTAAGGTGTATAGAAGAGGGCCCTTTATATACTAGGCACATGAAGAAACTGTGCATACAAAAATTTAAAATCTAAATTTATCAAACCTGTGTAGACACATAAGGATTCAAACTCAAGAGATTAGTGACATGTATCCAACATGCATGCACGTGCCACGTTCCGTGACGTCAGTGGGTTCGTCCTTGAGACGTTGTTGCACGTGCATTCAGGGAAAGAGAAAAAGAGCAAATGAATGCCACACAATACTGTCACTTTGGAAAGCTCAACCCCTGCCTTTGCGATCGTTCAAAAAATTAAACGGCTATTGAAACGCATAGCATGCCAAGGCTCACGTCTGCACAACGTCATGAGGCCATTGGGATGGTCCGTGGGGGAATGTCTCAATGACAAGTGGCTGCTCATTTCCACTGCCACCGGAACACCATTTCTGCACTGATGAGACGCTACCAGAACACAAATGACGTCATCGATCGGCCACGTTCTGGACGTCCAAGAGTAACAACGCCAAGACAGGACATATGGATAAGGGTGACCCATCTTCGCCACAGGTTTCAGATTGCAGTGATGACTGCCCAAACCATCCAAAGGGCTTCGCCGTATCCACCCCAACACAGTTCGACAACGTTTACGTCATCACGGGATCAGACCACGACGTCCCGCCATACGGCATATCCTGACATAACGTCATCGACAAGCTCGCCGAATGTGGTGCCGAAATCATGTCCGCAAACCCTTGTTTTGGTGGAGAAATGTTGTTTTTACAGATGAGTCCAGGTTTAACATTTCCCATAGTGATGGACGTCAACGTGCCTATGGACGCGTGGGAGAACGTTATGCACAGGCCTGTGTCTTGGAGAGGAATCGCTTTGGTGGTGGTTCAGTGATGATTTGGGGTGGAATAACAGCACGCCAAAGAACTCCTTTGGTGATTGTTCAGGGCAACTTAACTGGTGTGGGCTACAGGGATCAGATTCTTCGACCTGTGGCAATTCCTTTTCTGCAACGTCATGGCCCTGGGTTAACATTCCAACAGGACAATGCCCGCCCTCATACGGCAAGGGTTGCTATGGATTTCTTGCAACACCACAACGTTGACTTACTGCCTTGGCCTGCACATTCACCGGATCTCTCTCCGATAGAGCATGTTTGGGACGAGATGGATCGACGTCTACGCCGTCTTCCTCATCCGCCAGATAACGTCCTTGACCTTGCAACATAACTTGAGAGAATCTGGCGTGACATCCCACAAGCCTTCCTTGCACGTTTGATAGGCTCTATGCGTCGTCGATGCACTGCTGTTCTCAATGCCGATGGTGGACATACCCGTTATTGAGCTTGTGACATGTTCGTTTGACCCCTGTCCCGCTTGTGGACTCGTGACGTCATTGTGATTGACTTTTCAATTGAAATTCTCCCGACTTGTTATGGTCTCATGATCCCTCCATTAGAGTTTATATGTACCTTTGACATTGTTATCGTACTTATCATCTGGGATAATATTTTGACAATGCACAGTTTCTTTATGTGGCTAGTATATTATGGAATGAGATTTGTGTGTAAGCTTAAATATACTGAACAACATTAGAAACGCACCACACTAAAATGTACCAACGATGCTCAGATATCATGGGTACATTTCAGCCTGAAGGGGATATTTCGTATTAAATGGGTGATGCGTTTCTAATGTTGTTCAGTATATGTTCCATTGTCACTGGTGTTTATTACTACAATGTTTGTTTACAGGCACACCGACCTCTGAATGTTCTCCTGGACATGACTGGGAAATATATGCCTGATAGAGTTATTGGACTGGTAAGAAAACATTTTATAAATCTCTAGTGACGTCATACTATTGTCTCGCCAGGTTCTTCTTTAACCAAGTAAACCTCTACAGGCAGTTTCGCGAGCATTCTCAAGAAATCCCGGGGACTATTGACTATTTTACTTGTTTTGAAGACTTTGAATAACTTTGTCTTGTTATTACTGAATACGAGCGTAAAATATCACATTATTGAACACTTCCAATATAGTGTGGCGATGTTTGTTTTCGAACCTGCAAACCCCTTGCTTAATAGCAAGGCGGTTTTATTCACTGGGCTTCGTTGATTTCAACAGTAAATACTCAAATCTTGAAATTATATTTATCTCTGTCGGTTCATAAGTTCGATCAAAATCTCTTCCTCGGTTTTGTTTGAAAAAGTAAGCTCTCTGCCGCGGGATAATTTTCTAACAAAACCAAGGAGGTTTTGATCCTTCACATTACAAATTCAGAGACACTTCATCTTTATATCGAAAATATATGTAGCAGTGTATACGTTGTGGTTTGTGTCTATCATGGTGTGTTTTTTCTATCTGTCACTAGGTCACACTGTTCGCAACCAAGTTGTCTCAACGTCAGATCGGAATCAGTGCTTTAGGCCTTATGACAATCACGAAGGACACTACCCTAGCCGTATGTTGATCCCGATTTTATGATAAAAACAACAACAAAATTCACCTTTATAATCAATGTAGATCCATGATCATTGCCATTACTTATGTCAATCACTAGATTGTCTTGTCCAGACCGCTTCGTACATCAGTAATACTCATGATATCGTCCGATTTGTACAATCGACTATGCTTTTAGCAGAGATTTCGTGTGGATGTGGAAAGGGTTTTGTCGTTTGTAACTATTGCCCGAGAAGTTTCGGTATGAACTGGTCTTCAGCAACCTATGATCGATGTAAGAAGCATCATATGTGATCGATGGACAGGATCGGTAATGTGGTTTATATAGTTATTCGCAGACCAGTTACGAAATTGATGCTTATGATGGCAATCACTATTTCGTCTCGTCCAGAAATGATGATGTACAATTCCCTTCCAAAAGTAAGAATGTTGTTGAGTGCAGCTATAAACAAACAATAAATCAATAACTGTCCTTGTTTGTTCACACAGATCATTGGTACCCTCCTCACCTACGTTTTCATCGTGATCCAGTTTAATCCGGATTCGGCTGTTGGAATTTCACACATTGCGAACGCTACGACAGTGTAACGGAATCAACTTGTGACGAGTATCAAATGCTTTTGCACTAATGGATATTTAGCTGAACGTTGTAATGTGTTGACTTTGTCACCATAGAAACGTAATCGCCAGGGAATAACCGGTTTCTGTTATCTGCAGCTTTCAGACGGCGTCATGGAGGAGTAAATTATTGGAATTGATCTCTGAAATAGGTATTTTCGATTCCCATTTGACCTTCCTGCCACATATTAAATCCCTTAAAGCTAAATGCCTGAAGGCACTCGATTTGTTAAAGGTTGTTTCCAATTCAAAGTGGAGAGGGGATCAAACTGCCCTCCTTCACTTATATAGATCGTTGGTACGATCGAAACTTGATGACCCTAGTAAGGTGATCTACCTTCAGTTGTTGGCGATCTATAGCCAGTTTTTATATTGCATTGTCCAAATAGTGCTATTAGTTTTAAATTTCCACACTGGTTTTAGTTGAAATTGTGATATTCTAGTTGTTTTGCTGTCCTTTGCAGACAGGTTTTTATAATATACACACATTGCATTTCAATGTCAAATATGTTTTCGTCACGATATGGCTGAAATATTGCCGATGTGGCGTTAAATATTAACTCACTCACTCACTCGAAACTTGATTATGGCTCCATCGTATATGGTGGGGCCTGCAAAGCAGCCTAAAACTACTTGATTCAGTCCATCACCAGGGTCTAAGACTGTGTCTTGGGTCTTTTAGAACTTCTCCTGTTGACAGTCTTATGTTGAGGGTGATGAGCCATCTCTTGCACAACGCCGTATACAATTATCTTTACAATATATTACAAAACTATATTCTAACGAGTCTTACCCTGAATTTAACTGTTTTTAATCCTCTTTATAAGGATTTGTACAACAAAAAGTCTTCCGCATCTTGGGCTAAGAATTCAACCATTCATTTCTGCTGCCGGCATTGAGATGGAAAAAGTATTTCCTTCCGTCTTCTTTCTTCTCCACCTTGGCAATTAGTGAGGCCACAAGTTGACCTAACACTGACAAAGTTTAAGAAGCGGGAAACTAATGAATTACAATTAAAAAGTAAATATAATGCATACAAATCCTTATTTACAGATGGCTCCAAGGATGGTGGCGCTGTCATTGGATCCAAAATAATATCTTCTAGAATACCGGTTAACAGTTCTATTTGCACAGCAGAAGCAAATGTCATATTAACGGCTCTTAAGTATATTCAAAGACACCCTAAACATCAACAATATATAATCTTTTCTGACTCCCATTCTTGCCTTCAGGCTATTAAAACTTACCTTCTAAACATTCACTTTTAATAGAAATTGTTGAATTATATAATTGTGGCAGACTCAAATATATATATATGTACATAGGTTTTAGTTAGGAAGATTATATTAAGTATCAAGGTGGATGGCATTGTTTCCACTTAATGACTCACTCTATTAAACAATAAGAACATCTGTAAGAATCTTAGTTATGTTTTATACTTTATTTAGTCCATAACTCTGCATAGTAAGCCTTGTAACTGTCAGTCTAACCTCCACTAATTGTCACACTGCATGATTTCAACACTCTTTGCTCCAGCTCCCAGTCATTTCTATTGTTTTACTGATAGGCCAAGCTGGCCACAGCTTAACTACAATGTTCAGATTTTAAACTCAGATGCCGTCTTGTACTTTCGAAGGAGACATATAACCAGAGTCATTGGAATTTTATGACGATTTAAGGTTGGTTCATATTGTAGAAAATGTTGTATATATGGACAGTTTCTTGTTTACTATAATTAGAAATATAATGTATTGTGGCATGTAAGTCAGACTTGGTTTACTTGAAATATAATTTATCTTATAAATGTGTATAGTTGAAGATGAACTATCAGATCGCTGTGTTATTGTGAGTATATGTATTGTTTATGTATTGAACGCAATCCTAAACGTATATCAATGTTGCAGGGGTGAGTCAAAAATAATGACGAGCTGAGGGTGTGTTTGTGAGGTGACGTTTATTCAATCATCATATGTATATATCAATTATTTAATTGATCAGTCAATCAATTGATCAGTCAATCACCCTGTAATATAAGAAAGAATGCTATACATAAATCTAAACATGCAACAAGTATAGTTACACATAACTAGTTCATAATAAGTTATTCTTATTACCACTGATGTATAAAACACTACATAATGGTTGTAATTTAACATGCAAATGATCAACTTAAATGATCATAGAGGTGATATTTAAATCACACATAGATAATTACATACATGATAAAAGATAATATGTACATACCGTGTGGGTGACACCGGGGTGTGCCTATATACCCACACAAGTATTCTGTGTTAATGCATTCCTAAAACAAATAATAAGTACAATATTTTACTATGCCTACAATTAATAATGTAGAAAGAAACTTCTTGTTCAACATTACATTCAAACTACCAATCAAATCATGCTCTCACACATTCATACATTTAGACACTTCATATTGATAAATTAAAAGGTACATTGGCTACTTGATATAAAATAGTAATATTTACAACACTTTATATTTTTTATAACATATTTAATGGATAGTTGAGATTCTATTTAGGTTAATATAAAGTAAATGTTTAACCTGAGCTTGTTCTGTGCAGAGTTGTTAGCAGTGTGACTAGAAAGTGTGCAAGTGCAAGTGCTATGGAGGAAGGCTACAGTTATATAATGTTAATCTAATAGGAAGCCGAGGGCTATTGTATTGAAAGTTAGACTGTTGAGGCTCTAAACAGACCAACTGCTTGGATAAGTAACCCAAGCACATAAAGTAATGAACACAAAAACAGAAATGATAAATATAAAACTTTATTGCTAAAACTATAAACTCAATCTCCTGTTACATCAACTAAAGTAGTAGAGGGAATGATTGTACGGGACCAAGTCCAACAAAAGCCTCTGCAAAGCCTTATTCCCCAAATAAGGCTTTGGTCGGACCCTTAGCTCTTGCTACCATTACCCCTACTATGAAAAAAGTTTGGGACGCTAGCGGGATGCGAACGCACCTCTTAGCCGCACCGCTTAACCGACTGAGCCACCGGGGACATTGCTGAAAGTATGTTGGTATCCTGGGATTGTATTATCTGGGCTGCGTCTAACGTGCCGCTATGCCATGTTTACCTCAACGAAACAGTTTAATGTGAATCGCCTATGATCTCTTTGGTGTTTGTAATAAAGGCTTGCTGGGCTTTTTTCACCCCTTGTTCTATGTACTTTTTTTTCTCATCCTCGCTTATAGCAGACTTACGAGACTTGGATCGAATCTCTTGTTTCATTCTATGATATTTTGCGAGTTCAGAGAGGACTAAACGAAACTCCTCCTCTGAGATCTTACTGTCAGTGAGTGCGGTGGAAATAAGATCGCTTATGGTGTTAAGCTTTGCTTCAGCTAGAACCCCGATCTCATTATGCTTCAATGCTTTACGATGCAGTCTGCGGGATACAAGCTTAAGCACCACCCCCAACACCCCTGTCACCCCAGCTGTTATTTCGAGCCCTATCACTATAGGTGCGGCCACGATGGTAGCTAACAATCCAACACCTGCCACCCCTAGGCCCATGCTGGCTACCATAAGGGTAGTATCAGTCCCGTCCACGGCATTGAAAGCTCTATGGTACTTCTTATATAGTGCTTTCCGCTTGTCGCGGTCTTGTTCTAGTTGACGTTTTACATCGCATAACTGCCTCAAGCGGAACCCGTCTACGGTTTCCAGGGTCTTCGCTACTTCCTCTACGACTGGGTACAGCCCCATCCTGTGTGCCTATAATATATATTACAAAAGATATTTTAATTGGGTTTCAGTTAATAGCCTATCTAGTGTTCTGGTACTAGTTCAGGGATATAGCTCAATCCCATAATATATTTTAATTGGGTTTCATTTAACCTTCGATTAATGTACTTAAAGCCGATAATACTTAGATCAGCGTGCGTGTAAAAAAGCGGGGTCTTAGCTCTACGCCCATTAAAGAGACGAACCCCCTCAAGACTTGGTACAGGGTCATTTCCCGATACCTTAATAATACGGCAACGTTGGTTACTAGCCCTGTCTTTCCACCATATCAACATATCATCTATAATGTTACGATGCCCAGGATACGAGGTATCTCCGAGATAGACGTCTATGATGAATGTGAAGTTTTCCGCGACATTTCTAAAAACCTCTTGGTAATCGAGTAATTTGATCTCTGTCTTCACCTTCTCCCTGGAAGTTAACATGTTGCCCGAGTGGTCTGGTATTGGTACGACTTGTACACTAGATTCCGGAACGAACGATCCTATAATCATGCCGTTGTTCCTAATCTCGGAGATAGTATTATTTTGTTTCAGGGAGATATAAGGTGCGGTGAGGGTTAAGTTGACTAACCATTCAGGCTCTTTAAAATCTGATAACGACACCCGCCTATACACGTTGTCTTTCAAGTGCAGGATGTATAAGGTGCCTTCCTCACCAGGCTGATCGAATCCCTCCGTGTCCCCTAGATCGTTAAGTGTAGTGTTGGGACGAAGCCAAGACATTGCTATAATACTATTACGATATAGTTTCCAACTGGTTTTCTGATAATAGTTCAGGGGTGCACTTCACCCCCCATGAAGTGTATGGTGTCGGGTAGGAAGATCTTGGTTAGAGATATCGTGTCTTCCACGATCACGGTGACACCCTGCAGACTGGTTTTGGAGTCGACACCCACCCGCACGTAAACGTTGCAAACGTGATACTGTTGTTGTTTCCCCCACCGGAGTTTGACCCCCTTCACGATTTCGACATCATTCCGCGATGGTTCCCCTAGGTAGACTTGGATGACCAGTGTTGAGTTCGCCGGTAGACTCTCTAGGATCTTGACCACGCCTTCGAATTCAGACACCAACTGCAATACCACGTTTTGCATCCCGGGTTTACCCGATAGCATGTGGGCTGCCATACTGGCGAGTGGGCTGATGACTACGCTACGTCTCTGAGTCGGGATGTAAGCCACGAGCAGGGTTCCGTTGTTCACGACTTTGTTTAGGTGGTTGTCTTTATTATCCGTGAACACGTAGGGGGAGCCGAGCTTAATATTGAGAAACCAGTCGGCTTTATCGGGTAATAACACCCACTTGTCATCATCGGTGAAGACGAGTGTATATGGCTTATTTTTGGTGATAGCCGTCACGTTGCTCTCAACATCGGTTAAGTCGAACAGTTTGCCTCCGAACGATGGGTATATTATCCAGTTATCGCCGGTGTTGACAAGGGTGTACTTAGTGTTGACTGCCGCTCTTGTGGTATCTACTATATCACTTAGGTTGCTAGTACCACCGGAGGGGACTTCAACGCGTTTGTAAATGCTGTTTTTCAGTTGCAAGGCGTACAATTTACCATCTACTCCGGGGTCGTCGAATCCGCGTGTGT